ACGTGCCACGTAGCCTCGTAGGTAGCTTCTCTCTAAGTCTAACCTACTTCACGTTCTACTCCACAGTCTCCACTCCAATCCACACTCCTGGTGTCACTCCACAGTGTACTAAGTCTGAAAGTCTCGGACAAATCTGAACGTCTCCCTGGGCCTGTTGCAGACTTGCAGTGTATACATACCTACTATGTACTGTATACCTTTCTAAAGTAAAGGTGTAGTGCGCACTGCGCAAGCGCGTGATGTAGGCAGGAGTGAGGAAGGAATTACGACACGAAGTAGTGTCATGAACGGATGACGGATCCCATCAGTGAAGATCGATGGTCCGTCTGTTGCTTGTGGTCTTTATGTTCCATCTGTGAGGCAAGCAGTTGCATGGCGGTTGAATCCACATCACATGATCACAGTGTCTTGTCTGCTGAACTAATTGCAATTTTGCAGGCCTTGCGACTTATTGAAGCGGATTCCTTCCTCCAATGGGTAATATGTTCCGACTCTCTTGTAGCTTTGCAACTTTTGCTATCTCCCACCAATACTTGCTCTGATCTGGTCTATGGTATACGTGAACTACTCATACGGCTAAATGACTCAAAGATTGTGCATCTACAGTGGGTCAAGGCTCACATTGGCATTATTGGTAATGAGCGTGCTGATCTTGCTGGTCTTCGGTCACACTTTCTTCGTTTTTGGGAATTGGATTGGGTTACTACAGTAGCTACTGATGGGAGGGGTCATCATCTAGCTTCCATTCGGTCTGGAATGTCTCCTGTCCCATGGGTTGCTTGCCGTTCTCGTCGTGCCACAGTGGTTTTAACCCGTTTTCGTCTTGGCCATGTTGGGGTTCGTTCTTATCTTCATCAATTTGGCATGGCTGACACTCCCATCCCCATGTGCCTGCACTGTGGCCTGTGGGGTTGAAGAGTCAATTGAACACTTCCTCCTTTCATGTACACTATACAATCATGAGAGACAGGTGATGATATCAAATATCCGTGCCCTGGGAGTCCCTCTCATATCTGTGCGTATAGTGGCAAACCAGAGCTTTTTTAGAATCAGTTCATTTTTAATTTCCTCATTTACTCAAGATTTAAACCAATTTCTTAAGTATGATAATGCTGGTATCCAGGATACTTTACTGGTCTACTTATAGGACTCAGAAATGAACTTGAGGGAGAGTCTAAAAAACTCTCTGCTTTGCCACTATGTTAAGACTGTGCGTGTGCTCCTTGGTGGAGGAAATTATCCCAGAAGAGTTCAACACCACATAGTGAGAGCAACCACCACATATCTCCTGCAAACTGGTCGATTATCTACCATGTAGCTGGTGAAATGCACTGGATTAAACTGTGATTTGCCCTAAACAAGAGAATTGTTGATAACAAAGAGAGCTCATGCCAGCAAAGAAGGAAATGAAATTGAGAGAAACATGATGAAGACTTCAACTAAATAACTATTGCTGAGGCCAGGTGTTACAAGCGGTCAACGTGCGACTTCTTCTTCACCTACAACCCGCAACCACCACCACCACCATCAGTGAAAAAACTATTTTATAAAGCTCTCAATTTTTTATATTTCAATGATTATATCAGAGTGTTTTTGCCTCATTAGCATCTACTAATTCTACTTTACTCTGAAATGGTGTATGGCTTATCCTGCAGGCTACACCTTTGGCTTTGGGCTTTGATTATTTATATTTATATAGGCAATAGCTAGGATGAATTAGGTAGCCTACCTAATACAGGTACGGTACCTATGCCAGTGCGCCACTGCGCCATAACATAGTGATGTCGGCGCTAAGGAGTAGGCCTGATGTGGCATGTCGCCGAATCTTGAACTTTTCGTGACTTGTTCATAGAAGATCTAAAATCTTGTCATTTGACCGGATAGGCCTATTTTCAAGACTGATGATAGCCATGCGCAACCTATTTTTGCAAGCATTCAGTAAAGAATAATAGTAATTACTAATTAGGATTTTTCAGGTGTGCGTTTTGTCACAAAATTTTACTCATGTGACGCGAAAAATGATGAAGACCTTAAAAGTTAATAACCGATGCGACTCGTGATAGTCAGCTACACTCCGACTCTGTGTAAGAGGCAAAGAAGCTCGAGAGAGGCAAAGAAGCTCTCGAAGAAGAAGAGAGAGGCAAAGAAGAAGCAAGAAGAGGCAAAGAAGCTCGAAGGACGGAGGACGTTTGTTACGAGGCCGCAAGGCGAGTGGTGAAGAACCAAGTCTTCAGAAAGCGGACAGAAGAAGGACGTTTCTTGCTCTTCCTCTAGTTCATTTTTTAGTATTATTAGTAGTCTAAAATATAGTTGAAAAGTAAGTATCTTGGATACCAGCATTATCTTTCAAAGAAATTGATAAAAATATTAAGTACCTACTACCTAGGTAGATGAGGAAGTTGAAAATTAATTGATTCTTAAAAATTGCTGTTTGTTGTTTGGCCACTATGAATTAAGTGTTGTGGCAGCTGTGCCACAGTACCAGTACGGCAGTACCTTCGGTTATACCGAAGGTACTCCTCAAATCTTGTACTACGGAGCTACTAGAGAACTGATATCTCATAAAAGAGCACAGACTATCTTCCTGTACTAATAAGCTAAAAACTTGACCAGCAACAAGCTCTCATGCAGTCATGCCCAAGTTACACAGCCCAACGGTCATCCATCAGGCAGACCTGTGTCTTTATGTCCCCCACAGTGTGGGGTCACTGCAAAGAAGAAGAATAGCTGGCATTTTAATGTTAGGGTAGTGGTGTTGAAGAGTGTTCTGAACTGTATTGACCTTATCATGTACAATCTTGTGTGCATTACTCAATATTTGTTGTGATTTGAGCATTTGACTCTATTGAATTCGTAATAATAGGCTACCAGTGTCAGCGTGGGCTTGATTTTCAGATATGTGTCATTTTTGTTCATCTGTGTCTGCCTGCTCTAGGCATTTACACATTTGCTATCTATCAACTGTAGGAGATGATAGAATATGCATGGTTAGTCTTTCAGTCCTGCTAAACCTGTCGTATACAAATCTTGGAAAATTATATTGATGGTCATGGAAAAGTCATGGAATTTTTTTCTAAATACCACTATACCAGTACGGCAAGTACGCACCCTGAGCAGAGGCTAGCCGCTAGAGGGTGGGAAAGTTCAGTTACTCATTGTTACTGCATCATCAGCATAAAGTAGCATTTTTAGTCTTTAACCTCCAACATGCACTCCCACATCAATTCCTCTCAGTCTAGCTTTCATCTCATCCATGTACAAGCTGATTTTTAGGAAACTTCTGCATGTTATTCCAAATTGGTGCCCAAGTGTGAAATTAAAATACATTACTTTTTGAGTTACTACTACCATCATTACTAAATATTGCTGATAACATCACATTGTCACCACAGCTTGGCATGGAATATACCTTTTGAGCTGCTAACCTGTGACTGGAGCTTCCCCACCAATTTTGAAACTACAAGATTCTGGCTTGATGAATTGCTTCCTATATAATTGTCAACAAAAGTGCCCAATTGAGTCACAAGATTTCATATATATTGAAAGTTGGTCACTTTAAGGATGTTAGATTGTGATAATAGGAATAAAAAATGTAATCCTGACCAGTGACCACAGCACTTGAGGTTACAGCCTTCAATATGTTTGGAAGGCCTGTTGATTAGAAGTTACCGTATATACTTCTTCTAAGTTGACCTAGGAATAATATATGGGCCAATTTAGCCCTTGATTTGATGTGTTTTTCATGTGCAGTTTTTCTTGGTGTAGCTGAGATTGTTTTAAAACTCATATATGGGCTGGAATAGCAGTAACATTTCAAGTGAAGCTCAAAAATGTTTTCAGGATGTATGGTTGCCCCTTGTAACGTGCCAACAAATTGTAACATTTTGTGGAAGATATTACAGATTAATACAGTAGGTGTCAAAACATCTTTCTCCTTGTTTTGGACCAATACCAAGTTTTGCTGGTATATTCTTTTCATTTCAGTTTTGGGGTAGTCAGTAGTCACTTGCCTCATTGTTTCAAGGATCTTGACTATTTTGTCAAGTTTGACAGCCAGTACTGGAGAATTTGTGCAACTGTAGTGTTTTTTTGCTATGTTATGCATTTTTATCCTCAAACAGCTACATCCTTCTTAATTTAACTGATCTAAGGTGGTTTATCATTCAGAGTACCGGTATATGTAATGTTTGTATTGTCTAATTTAAAGTCCACAGCAGATAAGAGTCAAGTATTTTCCCTGAAATTGTGTTGTTCAGGGTTAATTACAGGAAGGCAAAATTTACTTAGTTACTTATCAATGATTTTGTTGTTAGGATAGTAGTTCAGTCATCTCAGCGAGGGATTATCCATTCTGGTTCTAATATTAATGCCTGGACTTTTGTGGCAGTGTCACAATGAGAAGTGTTCATTCTGTCAATATTAATTTCTTTTTCATATAACAAACCTAGCAACAAAGTCAAGTACAGTCAGACTCTTCTGGAACATAGCTTGTCAGCTCAGACCCACCTCGGTGCTTGCTGTCACAGAAAGATGTGCTTTTAACTGTCTCTGGATGGTCTGCCCTCAGCACTCCATCTGAGATATCACTTGCAAGTTTTGCACCTACCAAACTAATTGAGCTTAAGTGTCTCAAGGCTAAAAATAGCTGTTTGTGACTAAAAAATAGCAAATTGTGTTCCAAGTCCCCATCAAGGGTAGCAACTTTATGAGTGGTTTGTGTGTGTTCATATAAAAGCCATGTATAGTGATGTGGAGTAGTATTTTCACCATCAAAGTTGTTTCTGTACAGATTGGGATAGAAACTAGTAGGAAATTCAATTATACAATGCATCTCTTTTCTTAATTCATTTTGTTTTCTAATAATAGCTTTTGTGGTTTGTTTCAAGTTATGTTTGTTAATTATTTATTCAATAAATGTTGGCAAATGGAACCTTTATTATATTTTATTTATATTCCTATTCATATACTTCATTTTTGATGTATTTTTACATTTCTTGCAGATGCTAAGGTTGCTTTATCTTTAAATATTTGTCTATCATGTCTCTCTCAAAACTTTGATAAGAACTTTACATTCACTATTTGAAGGTGCCTCATTCACTGCTACTCAGAGATAGTAAAATCTGCCATGATGCAGCCAGCCATAACTAATATTGTGTTCAATCCTCAAACTGGTCAGTACCTGTACTACAACCAGAGAACCAGACAATATCTGCCATATCATCCGCCTCAGCTGCCTCAAGTTCAACTTGGGCCAAGACCTCAGCAATTTCCTTATCCTGCTCAGCCATTCTATCCACAACAGAGACCTCAGCAGCTCCCTTATCCAGCCCAACTAAATCAGTCCCAGCAGCCACAACAGAGGCCCCAGCAGCTCCCTTATCCAGCCCAACTAAGCCAGTCCCAGCAGCCACAGCAGCTTCCTTATCCAGCCCAACTAAGCCAGTCCCAGCAGCCACAGCAGCTTCCTTATCCAGCCCAACTAAGCCAGTCCCAGCAGCCACAGCAGCTTCCTTATCCAGCCCAACTAAGCCAGTTTCAGCAGCCACAGCCGAGATCTCAGCAGCTCCCTTGTCCAGCCCAACTAAGCCAGCCACAGCAGCTCCCATATCCAGCCCAACTAAGCCAGTCCCAGCAGCCACAGCCGAGGCCTCAGCAGCACTCCAGTCTACAAGGTGGTAAACTACCGGCAACTTCTGATCAGCAACAGCTGTATCAGAAACAGACTCGGCAGGAAAGTTCACATTCACGATCTCCTAGACAAAGAACTCCAGAAACCAAACCTCAGCACAGTTCCCAGCACAATGTTCAACATGGTCAAGCGGCAGTTTCGAATAAATTTCAGCATGCAAAGCCACACCCGGCAAACATACAATCAAGTACAGACAGTGTGAAGTCTGCCACCCGTGTTGAGGCAAGGGCTCCTCATGGACGTACTAATGACACTCGGAAAGAGTCTAAATCAGCATCGCGAGACTCGAGTCCCAGAGTTGAAAGTGGTCGTCCAAAACAAAAGCAAGCCACACACTCTTCAAAAACTGCCTCACCTCTGCCGTATCCAGTTAACTCAGATCAGGGACCCTCTACTTTCTCTGATTCACTGCTGGATTCATCTAAAAAATCTGATTCTGACAATGCAACTACACGTCAAACCCATACCAGTGAGATTGAAGCTACACGCCGACCGAGTGTCGAACCAACAGTGCCTATTACAGAAGTGCGTGAATCCTCCAGCCCAATGCCACTTGCAACATCGGAGGATGAAACTCTGGGTTTGCATTATGACGAGCCTCCCTCGAGCCTAGCGATGTGTCTAAATTCTCTATGGGTTAGTTCTTTGTGTACACCATCTGGACCAGCAAACTTGAACAAAGGTATCGCTAATCTCAGCAAAGGCTCTTCTTCTTCATCTGTTTTACCACTTGAAGCAAGACGCATTGTTAATGGGCCTCAAAGCTTGAATGCTGGTCCAGCTAAACTTGCCAAAGGGCCTTCAGTGATTACTTCAGGGCCTAATCAACAGCTACAAGGCCCAGCTGGGATTTCTAAAGGTCCTGCTGGCATTTCAAAGGGCAGCAGTCTTGACACTATAGGGCCTTCAAGTAGCGCCATCTCGAGACGCGTTGTCTCTCCCACTGGCCCATCGCACGATACTTTGTTGGGCGCTAGCCTGGCTGTTGGCTCGAGGAACGCAGCTAGAGGACCCAGCTGCTGTGTTCGTGGCTCGATCCGAAACTTCGATAAAATTGCTGAAACTGAAATTGTGGCGGGATGAATATCATTGAATGATGCTAACCACCATGTTATTTCTGCTCATGAGGGTTTTGTTACAGATTATAAATCGTTTACACGTTTATTTAAATTCTAAAGCTTCGACACGGCTGATAAATCAAGATGTCGTTCTATCAGCGAACGGTCTCCATACCCTAATGCATTAGGCGTCGTGATTTACCCCGTTTATCTCAAATAAGTGAAATAACATATATCTGATCATATTGCGGAGTCGTGCATTACAATTTTATTATCCTCTATATTACATTTGTTATGAAGTTAAGACTCGGAAGATTGCGCACGGTTTATTCTTAACAGTTGACCACATAAAACTTGGTGTATCTACGAGTGATTATCGTATTCATGTGTATGAATGGAATTAATCTGTTGAATTTTCAAAGTTCATAACATACATGGTAATCTCATCTCATGGTATTTATGGTTACACTTAGTTTACTATTTAGCAAGTAATTCTGAATTCATCGGAGATTGTTTCTTGTTCATTAGATTAATATTGACGTTAAATCTATTTCTTTGTTTCTTGTTCATTAGATTAATATTGACGTTAAATCTATTTCTTTGTTTCTTGTTCCTTAGATTAATATTGACTTTAAACCTATTTCTTAGTTTCTTGTTCGTTAGATCAATATTGACGTTCAATCGATTTCTTAAATCTTTTAGAAATAAATGTCTGTTCCTCATATATGAAATTGTTGGCTGATATTTACACCGCACTGTCTAGTTTTGTTGCTGACTATGGTCGATATTACTAACCTCTCTGTGAAATAAACTTTCCTTCATGCCTGCCATGTCTCTCATCACCTAGATAATCTTGTTGCAGACTGGCTATACTAACGAATTAGATCTGTAACCCTCATCTTATTCGTACGTATTACATGTACCGCCTTAGCTTGCTGAGCGACGTTTCTGTTGTGCCTTGCTTACCTTCACGTGCGCTAGCTTTGTAGCTTGCGCCATGATTGTGTCCAGTTGGACACTCGATGTTTGCTAGTCCCGTCTGCTAAGAAACTTCTTCTTTAATACACGCTTGACTGTTAATAACTTTCATTTTCCTTTTCTATCATTAGACTTAACAGAAATGCTCATCGGAATCACATTAAACAACTATATATTCCTCGAGTTGTAGTTCGTGGTATTGATACTCGCGCAAAATCTTATTTTATCTAGAAATAAAATCCCCGCCCGAGCTTGAGACATTCATGTCTGCCTCCTTTATTTCAATCTCTACAAGGCTCTGTTCATCGTAGTAATCAGATGGATTCAATTGATGCGACTTGCTCAAGCCAACACTTGCGAAAATCTTAATGCTATACTAGTACTTGCAACGTAGAACTCTGTTACTCGATGGCTTTAAACATTGAATTTAGTGTTCATAATACGACTCCACGAGTGCCAGCAACTATTAACACTGATGGATTTTTACAATTTTTCTACCCCTATGGTTCCCAAACCTTGGTTTGGGTTCAACTAGTTTGCTAGGGCTTCCTTGGTGATACGCTAGCATTTAAAAAAATATTTTTCTTTTGTATTCTTATTTTTACCTCGGACAAATATTTCCGCATAATTCAAAATAATTGAGGGACGACTTTCAGCAGTTATCAAACACTACCTTTATGTCCCAGACGCCCACCACTAAATTCAAACATTGCGATTAATTCGTTAATTTTTACAGTATTAGGTGAAACAAAATTACTCGACTACGGCTAATGCGTGTTGTATTCATTGGTGGTACGCGGAAGGAACCTGGTGAAGCACCTTTACTGTGAAAAGCCTCAAAGTGGTACTCGATTACATCAATTACTCGATTACATTACGTACATGACTCATTTAAATAAAATGAAAGGGTTCATAAAATACCGTTCAAATTCATGCAATTGATAAATATACCAGCTGGTATCGTACTGGTTCGAAGATCAGTTTGTTTCATATGATTTGTTAACCCGAGTAGTTCACGCATTAGTTGGTTCATCCGCCTAAATCCTGGCTATGTAAAGTGCGCTTAATAATGATGAGTTAGTCGGAACGCGATGCCGGCTTGTATCCACTGGCGGCTTGGTTTAGAGCAAGACAGTTAGTTGTAAGTAGGAGCGCGATGCCGACTTGTACGTAGGTAGTATCCACTGATGGCTTGGTTTGGAGCAAGACAGTTAGTTGGTAAGTAGGAGTGCGATGCCGGCTTGTATCCACTGATGGCTTGGTTTGGAGCAAGACAGTTAGTTGGTAAGTCTATAGGAGCGCGATGCCGGCTTGTATCCACTGATCGTAGGTAGTATCCACTGATGGCTTGGTTTGGAGCAAGACAGTTAGTTGGTAAGTAGGAGTGCGATGCCGGCTTGTATCCACTGATGGCTTGGTTTGGAGCAAGACAGTTAGTTGGTAAGTCTATAGGAGCGCGATGCCGGCTTGTATCCACTGATGGCTTGGTTTGGAGCAAGGCAGTTAGTTGGTAAGTAGTGGCGCGATGCCTGCTTGTATCCACTGATGGCTTGGTTTAGAGCAAGGCAGTTAGTTGGTAAGTAGGAGCGCGATGCCGGCTTGTATCCACTGATGGCTTGGTTTGGAGCAAGGCACGTCCAGGCTGCACACGACCGACTCCCGCAAGCTGGACGTGTACACCGGCACCGCCACCAGATCGTCCTGGTACATGTTCGGCTTCTTGTCCTGCAAGCCGCCGAGCACAGCAAAGTTAGTAGAAGCCGTACGATATCACTGTACAGTTTATTTACAAGCCAGCAACACTGACTCTGTCGCTTACTTTTAATTAGCCTCAGAACTGCTGTTATTTTAACGGCACCTGGACATGGAACAAAAGCCATAGACAGGCGAAGTAACAATAATACGAATAAATTAATAAAGATGATGAGATAAAGTTCCAGAAATTTCAAGCCATACAAAGTCAATTAAGAGTCTTTTATATCGTAGTTTATGCGCTATGAAAGCTATGAAGTCATCCACATCATAATGCTGTGTGTGCGACTACCACAGCACCACTCACGCACCTTGGGCACCCACGCGACGGTGCAGGAGGGAGCGGCGGTGATGCTGGCGCTGTCGTGCGTGTTTTGCATGAGGCGCGAGCCGTCGAAGGTGGCACCCTCGAGCTGAAGCCCCACCCACTTGAGCAGCACGCGTGCATCAGGCACCCCACCGCGGGACCAGGAGCTTACCAGCACCAACTCGTCCATCGCCACGCTGTACTCACTGCATCAGCAATGCATCAGTTAAGATATTAGTCATCGGTTCCAAGTAAGAAGAGCATAAGTGTTCAGTACCAGTTGAATCAGCACCAGTTTCCGCATATTCTGGTCATACATCAAGTTCTATTGAGCGAGTAATTAAGATTTTGATTGTATTATATTACCGGGCAGTGTGCTGCCTGAGGGCGTTTAGGAAGGTGCCAGGGTGCAGCGTGTCCCCCAGGTCCAGGGAGTCTCGTAGCAGCGCCCCCGAGTCGTTACGAGCAGCCCACTCGACGGCGCCCTGAGCCCGCCTTACCAGGCTCCTCAGGTACTCAAGTGGGTCGTCCGGACCCTCCCACAGCTCGTGCCATGTCCCTGGCGTCTGAAGAATTAATACGTACATTGAGTATTAGTTTCAGATCAATTTATACGACAGCTTAAAATGCTTTCCATTGATGCCTTCATACTGATACAAATACCTCTGAGTCACTCTGAAGGCCAAGACGAGTTGTCGTATAGTGAAGCGTCTCACCTCCGGCTTCAGGAGGCCATCACCATCTCGCCTTGCACTTCAGTAGGCCGTCACCATATCGCCACTTACTTCAGGAGACATCACCATCTCACGTTATGCTTCAGGAGGCCATCATCGTCTCACCGTCTGCTTCAAGAGGATTTCAACATCTCGCCTCCTAATGCAGGAGGCCGTCGACATATCACCACTTACTTCAGCAGGCCGTCATCATCTCACCTCCTGCTGCAGGAGGACATCACATCTCACGTTATGATTCAGGAGGCCGTCATCATCTCACCTCCTGCTTCAGGAGGCTGTCTGCCAGCTTCTGCACTTCAGAGGTGAGTAGCAAGGTTCCTCTGATGACTTTGGACAGCGCGGCGAGACTCCTGTGAACCGCCTGCACCATCTGCCAGGACATGGAACTGGATTAAAAAATGGCGTTTTGTAGATTTAATTAAAGATATTTAATTTACCACATGAGGATCAGTTATTTCCGGTTAAATCGTGTGCTTATTTATTTGTTTTAATACGAATCCAAAAGTAACTTCAGAATCGTATCTTTTTGCTGAAGATAACCAATGCCTAGCACCTTACTCACATGGTAATGGAGGTTAGATCGTATTTTATGGCGTATTTAAAGCAATAGATCGTATTAAATAACATAATTCTCAACGTGCACAACGTAAAGAGCATAGATCAGCACCGTGGCTAGACTGACCTGCAGGGCTTGGTATTGCTCGAGCTGCACGAAGGCGGTCAAGGGACTCACGTTGCTGCCACTGGGAGGTGCTGCTTCCAACTGCAGGAGCGCACTTCCCTGCAGCATCAATACACAATCAAAACCTCATAAAAACCTATCCTAAAAACCTAAATACTAATGATCCTCAGAAGGCTGGGCTGCAGCTCTGTTTATCTCTTTTGAACCCTGCACTCATCCACTTCACATCAATAAACATGTACAAACGAAACAAGCCAACGCTCAAGATGCAAGAAGCTCGTTCTTCTGCAGATCTGAGATGATGTTCATACGATATATTTTATCTTATATTCACACGAAAATCACGCATCACATCGCACCACACAGCTGGCTGGATTTAGATCGCGGGTGTGTCATCTTCCAGGAACACAAACAAACCTGGTTGAGTTTCTTCCAGAGGTTGAGGACGGGTGAGAGCTGCGCCCTCCACTTCTCTTTGTCGAACTTCCCGACGAGCTCCGCTGACCGCATGAGCACTAAAGAACAAAAGGAAGAATTGTTATAAATCCCGACGCAAGTCAGACATTCCTTCGAGCATCTTGTTTTACTCAGGGTAGAAAATTTAAACTCGCTTCATTTGTCGGAATAATTCCAACGCACGAAATTTCATAATTGTTGTAGTTCAAAATTCATGGTCCAGAAAACAATAAATAAATGGCGGAAAAAATCCTTCGGAACGTCACTATCTAGTAAGAATGTTATAATATTATTATTTTACATTTTTTCTAATTCAGAATTTAGCTCTGTAACTTTCGATGCATCATTCATATGCCGCCCTCTAAAAACGTATGCATGATAATGTGCAGCGCAAGAACAACAAACAACAGAGACAAAGAACATGTTAGACTAACATCCTCCGTCGGAATAATTAAACAGAAGAATTTTCTTTGGAAATTACTTTAAATTTGCTATACCTTTGAGCTGGTGAATGACGCGGCTACTGTTCATGCGCTGCCTCGACCGCTCGATGTTGGCGGGCAGGCCGAAGTGGTCAGGCTCGTCGTCCTCCGGCAGCGCCCCCACCAGACCGTAGTAATCCTACACATGAATGAGGCAGAAGTCCTACACATGAGTAGTAGTCCTATACATGAGGCAGGATGTCATCCGTCAGTGACTGCATAACTTGGATCCGATCTTTCAATTATTTGTCTCTAACATAGATACACCACACACACGGCGTTCAACAAATAATTTGGCAGCAAAATTTTGTTTCTTTACACCGGATGCACTGCGTTATAAATATCTATTTAAAAGATAAAAATATCAATTAGCAATAAAAATTTATTTTTATGTTATGAAAATTATGCCTGAAAAATTGCTACTGTCGCTATTAGACAGCATAAGGAAATGAAATATGCAATATAATTTTCAGTTTTTCTGAACTAAAATGTAATTAATAGTCCTGTTATAGCGAAGCCATGAAAGGAACAAGCAAAAATATTTGGCTATTTAAGACAGGACCAGATTCAGCACTGCAAGAATATTCCTAGATCAGTGGACCTGGTAGTTGACGGTGGTGGGGAGAGCGAGGTTGGGGGCGAGATGTCTAGCAGGGGGCTTCTTGCCCCCTATCACCTCACTCGAGAAGAAGAGAGTTAAGTAGGACTGCAGGACTCTCAGGTCCCACACGTTGTCAACGCGCCCTCCGTATATGGCGTTCTCGAAGAGACCGATCACGAAGTCCCACTTGATCTCAGCCCCATCTGGTGAACATGTGAACTGAGTGAACTCTGATCCCTTGCTCTCGGACATAGTTTATGAGTGACGATCTCATTATCTGTTGCAACACTAACGCATCGTGATAATAACTGGACAAAACTTGTCGGGAATGTGACGAAGTCCCGACGTCGATATAATTTGTATATAGCCGTAAATATCTGTTCATCCTAATTGCCGCAGTTGGTCATTTACTGGAAGGCACCGATACCTCATCTCAATCCAAGTCGCCTTGCTCTTGTATTCTACATGTAACCTGTCTGTGATCTATGAATAAATTCATAACTGTGCTGACTATTAGAACCACGGTTAATGCATTCGTAAATCAATTTATTCTTATCCATCCGCAACAAAACTGAAGAATTGAACAAAGTAAGAAAACTCAGAATGGCACAAACCTCAAAAAAATAATTAATTTCCTTTGGTAATTTTATGAGGCAGGATAAACTTCGGTAACGACAATCGAAGAATTTTGTGGGATGGCATAATTCCATTTCAATTTAAATAATTTACCTTTTCGATTCCTAATTTAATTGATATTCGTTTGATGGAAAATTCGTTTACTACCCGGAGCTTTTCATTAGCAGGGTATGAATTCGACAAATTACCATTTTAAATAAGCTTGGTAAAAAAAGTTGACTTGGGAACATTCGAACAATGATTTGAGCACAGAATCAAGGTAATGTGTAAGTAGAAAATATTGAATCTAAATCTGTTGTGTTGGACTGTTGGTGCACAACATACCAGCGATGATGTAGGTACACAAAATACCAGCGATGGTGTAGGTACACAACATACCAGCGATTGTGTAGGTACACAACATACCAGCGATGATGTAGGTGCACAACATACCAGCGATTGTGTAGGTACACAACATACCAGCGATTGTGTACGTGCACAACATACCAGCGATGGTGTAGGTACACAACATACCAGCGATTGTGTAGGGGCACAACATACCAGCGATGGAGTAGGGGCACAACATACCAGCGATGGAGTAGGGGCACAACATACCAGCGATGGTGTAGGTGCACAACATACCAGCGATGGTGTAGGTGCACAACATACCAGCGATGATGTAGGTGCACAACATACCAGCGATGGTGTAGGTGCACAACATACCAGCGATGGTGTAGAGTCTGTCGATGATGTCAGCACCAGCTTTAAGGTCAGCGTAAGAGAACTCGTAGAACTTGGACCATCCCTGCGGTATGTAGGTGCGCCGCTCCTGCAGCACCGCGTGTGTCCAGGCCAGCACGAAGAGCGCCTGCGCTCTGCTCACCATGTTGCCCTTCGCCAGCACCTCGGGGCTCCACGAGTCCATCGTCCGCTGCAGGTTCTTCTTCAGGCCAGCCGGAGCCTGGCGAGGATTTTGTTTGTAGAAAAACTTTAGAGAAAAGATGCCACTACCGAGCATACCGATAAGTGTTATGATTCTACATCAATAATTACTTACTGTAATATTTTAGATCGTGCTCTAGGAATGGGCAAACGAATTGGATCTTTTCAACTTATCAGTCAACCTATAACACTTGTCCCTGTGATCCTTCGTGGACAACACATGGCAGTTGTTTCTGGAGTTTACATACACATCGTCATAAATATTTAAAAATATGATACCTGTAAAGTTATAATAAGTAAATTAGGCAGTGAGAGAAAATGAACTGGTGCTGTTGCTGGGAATTAAGTTGATCACCTCATACGTGATCTTCAGGCTGGACTGAAGCAATATCGCCGTGAACTTGGGATGAGGCTCGGCAGTCAACCACAACCTGGAAATAAACAAAATAACTCAGGAGTTATTTTGAATATTAGAATGAAAATATCTAACCCGTATGTCAGCCGCGAATAATATACCTATGCAAACAGTTACACTTACCAAGTCTTCCTATACCGGTCACGACATTAAATGTTTCGCTTTTATGAAGTCTCTGCGAGGTGTAATCGTACCTGGAGTCTCAGTGAGATGTAATCGTACCTGAAGTCTCAGTGAGATGTAATTGTACCTGAAGTCTCAGTAAGGTATAGTCGTACCTGAAGTCTTGGTGAGGCTGGAGGGCGTTGAGCTCCTTCTCGAGCACGGGCAGCCAGGCGGTGACGAGGTGCAGGTTCTTGAGGCACAGCCACCGCCCGCTGGCGGCGCTCGACCGCAGCGCCTGCAGCGCCACTTCGCTCTGCCCTTGACCCATCGCCACCTGCCAAGTGTGTCATGCTCTCAGAAAAATAATTGCGTAAAATTATTACTAAATAGTGATACTTTTTTGACCGGCAGCACGAGCAAGGAGCGGCCGTAGTACTCATATACACTTTTGTTGGGTCAAACTGAGTCAAGGTGACCCACACACGGGCTAATAGTTCATCGCGCTTTTGACAAAGTTACACTCGTTTCTCTGAGCGCAGGCAGCACATGCAGCCTGCGCCGTGTGTGCTGGGCGTCATATACACCTCATCACACATCATCAACTCATCACGTCAATCACCCCACCATTTAACGAAATCATCACATCACCATATCACACCACACCCCAAAATCACACCACACCACACCTCATCACCCCCACCACTTGACGACATCATTACACCACATCACCACACCACACACCAGACCTCATCACCCCACCACTTGACGACATCATCACACCACATCACCACACCACACACCAGACCTCATCACCCCACCACTTGACGACATCATCACATCACATCACCACACCACACACCACACCTCATGGTATCGCTCCACGGTGACGGTGGACTTGACGAGCTCGAGCAGTTCCTGCGACGGGTCCGCCCCTGGGGAGATGATGAGCAGCACGGGCTCCGTGGCGCGCGTCTCTGTCACCAGCCGCCGCAGGTTCAGCGCCTCTGGCGAGAGTTCCTTCACGCCTGGGCAGAGCAAGCAGGTAATTTTTAATTTTAAGCCATTTTAAGCTTTTTTTAAGCCAGTTTTTAAGTTTTGCTCAAAGTATCAAGTAGTAAAATACTTAACTATTATTAGCCACGATTTTGAAAAATTAGGTATTTTATACTTAGAATTTAAACCTCAGCTTGGTTTATGCAAATAAATGGTAGCATTAATTCATGCGAAAATATTCGTTATGAATGATTAACAAGAATGTGCAGCAAATACATGTATTATGAGTCGGACACGTTGTGAAAAACCTATGATTTAAAGCGTTGGAGTTTGAAATCTGTTCAATAAAAATACGATCACTGTATTCAAAGGAATTGTTGAATACTTTTCTACGATAAATTTCGGTTTTCTGCTAAAACGAAATGAGTAATCGATAAGATATACTAAAATTCTATATAGTTTAAAAGCATAGTGGTTTTTTATTTTTAGTCCCGCCTACTTTTACACGCCACTTATTGCAATCAATGCTCTTCTGACACAAAAAGAACTCGTTGGCGCAATCGCGGATCTCAAAATTGCACAAAACAATGAGGCTTTCCGTACCGAGCACTTTGGAGGCGAAGTTTATCATGGCGCTCTCGAGGCGGTCAGGGCGGAGCGCCTGCACCACCAGCACTTGCTGGAATTTGCTCGATGTTTGCAACACCTTAGGAACAAAGAAATTATTTCATTCGTATTTAAAATGACCAAAAATTCTGGTAGAAGGAGAATTTTAATGAGAAAATGAGAAGGCGTCGACGTATCTATCTGAGTCAACATGACTCCAGTTTCCAGAAATTCTAGCATAAGAAAGTCTATTTCAGCGCTTCATGCATTTACAAGTCTATAAGTCAAGAACGCGTCGCTTTCTTTAAAAATTTGAGTATCGTCACCAAACCTAAGACAGAAAAATTGAATAAAATATTGATTTGAATAAACCTGGGTAGGTATGTCGGTTTCTGAGTGAGAAGAGCGAGCGAAAGAGGACCACAGCCCAGCGTCGTCCAGCTGCAAGGAGCTGTACAGAGCCGGGAAGCTCTTCTGATGAGATAAACAATTTAAATGTGAAACATGCGAGCTAGAAGAACTGGGAAAATAATCTAGTTTACACTCAACCCAGAATCAACTTGTATTCACAGACATCAACCAGAAGTTAATAACCGAGAAGTAATAAGTTTAAAATGGCATAATATATAAAATATATTTAAAATCTAAAATATAACTTCATATACACAAGCCCATGAACCGACGACCACCAGTTAAAATTTCAACGAAAACAGATTCGAAACGCTTATCGATCAATATTTAAAAACAATAGAATTTACTAGACACAAATATGGCTAAGAATCCAACGAATGATAAGAAGAAATTAGTATTGAACGTTTTCAAAATGAAATCAAACCCAAATGACCAATATAAATTATCTGTCAGTCAGGCACAAGACGAGCAGCATCGCTACCTGCAGCGTGGCGACGGCGAAGGCGCGCTCGTCGTCGATCCACTTGGGGAGCGTCTCCTTGAGCTCAGCGGGAGACCCGCGCACCTCAGACACCATCAGGCCCGTGAACACCTCCCACTCCTGCACCAAGATATCATCACAACAAATATCTTCAACACTAAAATGCTACATGAGTCTAGTAGGCCTTTACTACTTCAGTTCATTAACAGAAATAAACTATTTTTCAAGCAGTCCTATAATGTTTTGCAGTATGTTCTAATTTTAAGCCAATTTTTCAAGGTTCGGACATGAACAAACAAAAAATCATTCATTTCTTGCGTCGTCGAATGTTGATAGCTGATTTCTAAATAACCTAGTAGATTTCCAATTGAAAAACTACTCTTAAACAAACGGCCTATCATATAATAACAATAATATGCAATAATAAATGGCAAAGAGAGGCCGCAGCACTCACGTTCTTCTGGAACATGTTGGGGTGCATGCCATGGACCATGTGCATGGCGAACATGAGACAAAGAGTAGCAGCAACACTCACGTTCTTCTGGAACATGTTGGGGTGCATGCCATGGACCATGTGCATGGCGAACATGAGACGGTCCTCCTTGAAGAGTGACCGCGCCACGTACGCGTACACTGAGTCCACGAGTGCGCGTTGCAGAGCAGCCAGGCGCTTTGCCGTGTCTTGGCCAGTCTGTGTCACACACGCGTTAATAATTAACCTTGATTTATGATTGTTGAATGTTTTTGCATTTGAAACGTAAATATATTAAAATTGCATTTCTGAAACCTGCCTATTTGATCTACTAAACGTCATGCAAAGAATTGCTCGACTCCTTGAAAAAATTAATCAAATGCATTCTCTGGTTACTGCTATGGTATAAATGAGCATATCCATTTTGACTGGGGTATAGAAATAATGGTTTTATCCTATATTATAGAAATAATGTATACATATATTCATATGGTATGGGAATAATGGTTTCTAACGCAGAATTTAATATTCGTAATTAATACTTCCAGAAATGTCATATTCTACTCTTGAAATACGCATTGTTTTCCGAAAAATTTTGCTACAGCTTAACAAACTTCTTTGGCGAGGCTGCCTATGCTTCGTTCATTAAATCGATATCGAAATTCAAATCATGTATTTATTCCGTAATTCTTATGAAGATGCTAAATGCGTTTACTCGTCCATATCGAAGTCACCAACTGTGTAGAAACCACGGGCAGTACTCGTGTAACTCACTGATGCTATAATGCTATAAACTGCAGTCTGTACCTTGGGAGTCTGGAGCGCTTTATTGAAGAGGGCGATGAAGGCGGCGAGGCTGAAGCGATACATGTTGTTCTGTTTGCTCAAGTCGCAGATGTTGAAGTAGAGCGCAGCGCCTGCCTGGGCCAGCGGCAGGAAGCTCGCCCGCTCCTGCTCCAGCGTCTCCTGCAGGCCGAGGCTCTCGCTGAGGCTCGACTCGATCGTCGCAGCGCTCGACTTGGCTTGCTCCAGGGACGCTAGAAGCTCCTGGTGTTTGGGGGTGGCAGAGAAATTGGTAGCAGGTGAGTTCCAGATTTATTTATTATTTTCAATGATGTGCGGAATCAGCAACTGATGATTTGATTCCGATTCACAGAACGACTTTAATCTTACAAACCAATAAGCTTGATTAGTAGTTAAAATGAGAGATGACAAAAATTAAACTTTTGCCGATGCCTTTTTAATCGAGTTGTTTTCACTAACATCTTCATCCACATAAATTAGAATTAATTACTAATGACTCGGAAGCTCTAGCTGCCTTTAAATTACCTTATTTTCGAGTATATTTCCTTCACTCTGGGCCAGGGAAGTAAGCAGTTGGTCCTCCAGCGCTGTGAGCTGCACGCGCAAAGTTTCCTCCTGCGACACAAGCTCCGACCGCCGCACTTCCAACTCTGGCGACTCCGTTTGCAGGGTCAGGGCTAGCAACTGACGACGAATATTATACCGATTATTTCAAAGAGAAACGCGACCAGTAGGAAATTCCATTGAAATAAAACCACCAATTTTATACTGAACACCTGATCGTCCCACAAGGCCAAACCTCATCAGTTTCAAGATTCCTCCGACATGCCCAACATTGTACCAAAAATCCTTCAGTACCACACGATGTCAAGCATCACCTAAAATAATACGCTCGGCATGCAAAGATGGCGCTCTACCTGGCCAGTGAGTCCTGCTCTGGTGGTGGTGAAGTTGACTGCAGTGAGTAGGGCGGCCGCGTCAGGCGGCAGGATGAGCTGCGGCAGGCGAGTGGCCAGGTACAGGCGGAACTGCTCGTTGTAGTCGAGTAGCTTGTCGCCAAGCTGCAGGACGTGGCGCGGTCCTGAAGGTCGAGAATATTTACTTTAATTCACGAGATTACAAAGTGTTCACTTCATGTCACGAATCAAAAGCAATACATGATTCTTCATTTCAAAGTTTCATGGTCTATCATCACATCTACACAAATTCATCTCCTAGAGCTTTGCGAATGTAAATAAATACTTTTCATTTCTATGTCGTGTTCAATTGATGATGAATTAAAGTACAGTTGAGTCTAGACTCCTGCGTCTCGAAATAATTTTCTCGAAATGAACCGGGACAGACGATACGAGACGAGAAAATTCCGGGAAAAAAATAACGGGACAGAGGGTATAATTTGTCCCGGAATAAACGTCTGAACCGAGACAAGACTTCTGTCCCGGACTTTAAAACTTGTGCCCCGGTAAATTATGAACCGGGACGAGACAGACAGATTTGAAACGGTACGAGACGAGATTTGTCTTAATTATTTAAGACAAAACAAGTTTTTCGATTACGATACGAAATTTTTACGAATCATTTCGAAAATATGGGTTGAAGAATGACAAGTTAGCCTTTAATGCTAACGCTGCTTCTTTCGAGCCAGCTTCAGCGGGCTGGACATCTGAGACCTTCTGCCCCTTGTGGGTGATGAATAATTGAGACCTTCCACCTCTATGGTGATGTTCATATTGACTTTCGGTGCGAGATAGCTAAATAGCTGAAGCGCTAGTAAACATTTGGCCACAAAACTAACTAACTACCTTAGTTGTTACCAGAGGTGGCCGGGCAGTATATAGCGCGCTCCATGTAGCGGTAGCGGCGCTACATTTAAGCAATTGTAGCGGTAGCTGTAGCGCCCGCTACATTTAGAGCATGTAGCGGTAGCGGCCGCTACATTTCAAAGTAGCGCTGCCCAGCTCTGTATAAATGTATGATGGTAAGCCAATATTTACACCACATCGATAATTGATTCGTCTCGTCTCGTTAAAATGGCTATAAATTCCGGGAAATTTTAAGGTACCTATTTTAACCGGGATGTCTCGTCTCGTCTCGGTATCGTCCCGGAATTCCTACAGAGGGCTGAAAATTGTCCCGGTTTTTATTGCGAACCGGGACAGAGCCTGTTGTCTCGTCTCGTCTCGGATTAAAAAAAATACCAAACGCAGGAGTCTATAACAGTTCTCATACTATGAATGCGTTTTCAACGCATTTCCCTGGAACTATGCAAGCAAAAGTTCTTGCCTTGCGTGATGAGGTCAGCCCGCAGCAGAGGGTACAGCACGGGACTTATCTCGTCCACTTCTCCGATGATGAGAGTCTTGCCGAACCTGTAGACAAGATCACAGAAAAAATGTTTAGCTGCTTAATTTAAATGATCCATTATGCGTGTTTGATCAAGAAGCAATCGACTGTTGATGTCATTGTATTCTTCGAGTCAGATTATAAAATTATCGTTATGTTCACGACTTTCGATCTAAAAATGTTCTATAGAGCAGATAGAATTAGCCGGCGATAATCTTTGCGGTGATGCATATAAGCAAACATAAATAAGCATAGTATTCATTTGATCCTCGCATTGAAAATTTAGTTTCTGCCTCTCTTTTAGGAATATCGAAGCTTGAAGGTCAACATCTGTTTCCTCTTTTCATTTAGACAAGAACAGACATAGTCATAGTCAAAGACCCACCTGACGGCGAGCTCGAGGTTCGTGATGAACTTGGGGTCCTGCTGCGTGGTGGTCTCGACCGTCGCTGAGGCGCTGAGGTGCGCCTGCAGCCAGTCCGTGGCGCGCGACGACGGGTCCAGCAGCAGCGGCGTCGACTTCGTCTGTGCCGACAAACTTCTTACTCGCCATTTATATTAAGAAATTTAATAGTCAAATTACGAGCTTATCTAAGAGCAAAAATACTCAGTTAAATTAGGAATCAAATTAAATTAGAAAATTGGCATTAATGGCATATACATTCTTAAACGTATTTGATTTCTCGAAAATGTAAAACGGAAACTCATGATCAAACAAGCATGGTTTTGAAAATATTCAGTAGTACACGAGTACTAAAACAGATGAATTACGCTAGCACATTCGTACAATTGGTGCTTCTTGAGCTAACTCGATCGCGAAGGGTGCGTTTATGCGAGGCCAGTTGTCGCAGCCACTGCTAACGACTACAAGTGACCCATTCTAATTTTACTGGCTACTGTTTATAGACAAATAATAGCTTCCTGTACTTTCTCATCTTCGACAGCGAATAATCATATTGATAGAAAAAAATTAGAAAATCGTTTCCATGCCTGGTAACGAGGATGACAAGGTAACAGAAGTTGCCACCATCAGGAGGAATAGGATCGTAATCAAATAAGTATTGTGAGAAATGTTTTGTAAATAAAATTATTTTACGTTAGATTGATATTTTGAGTGACATGAGAAAGCCATGACTACAAACTTAATATTCGCTATACAAACTTAATTATTTCCATTCAATAATATTCAATATTTTTATTATATATTACCAGAGTCCACTAGCCTGATATGACAAGTGGTTGGCATTAGTGATCATAATTGATCATAATAATAATCAGTTATCATAATTGGTCCCATCTTAACGTAACGGAAGCGAACACAGTAAAGTTTTTCTCGTGCGTTCGAAAGTAAATTTATTTATACTGTGCAATATTACTTGCTTGGTGCCAACGAAATGCACTGAGCGTGTCAGTACAGAATACAGTAATACAAAGAGATGTGCACGACTGCTGAGCAGTAAGGCCTTGTATACCACGAATAGAATCAATGGGAGAAATAATAGTTATAATAAGAATAATAGGCCTATCCAGGCCTATTCTTTAATGCCGAAGATACTATACTATACTAATAGTTAAGCCGGCTTCAGGCTGTTACCAGGAGCTTTAATAAATATGAAGATTACACTCGAAAAACACACACACAGAATTAAACATATTCTCACCCCAGCCGCCTGGTTAGAGCTCTGAAAGAAGAAACGTGATTTATATCAAGAAATTGTTTAGAATAATTAGTAAAAAGTTATCGGCTTATGTTGATCGTCCAATTCATCGAACACTAATTCGCAAACATTAATTTCACATGAGATGTCAATGTGGCCTGCCAGTAGCTCGTTATTGAGCAACGCAGAACATCGAAATATTGTCTAATGCATCGTACAAATGATTCTCTACAATAATTATTGGCTAAAACTCGCAGTTGCGTAGATTTTTTGTGATAAGAACTGCAGGGTTTCGATTTTGCCCTAAAGATTTACTGCACAAAATGGTTCAACGGGAAATTGTGCATCAGTATCCCTAGCTAACTATCACGACACCCATCGTATACATGATGAATACGAGAATTTCATGTACTGGCGGCTGAAAAAACTATATAGCTCAATTTCTCAGGGACAACGTTAATTATGTGATATTGTGACAGCCCCGTACATTGTGGCGCGTATGTGACGTTTCCTGCTAAAGAATCAACGACATATCTGCGAAAAATATCTGGATTAGATTATCCACATTATAAAAGCACCTGCAGGATGACGAGGGCGTTCTCAGCACTGAGGTCATCAGACGGCAGGCCCTCAGCCTTCCACTGCAGCAGGTCACGCTCACTGGCCAGAAACCTGTACGGATACCAAGAGGCCGTTAGAATACATATTAAGTACGATCAATCTCAATAAAGAGTACAATTATAGAATTCTTGAAAGTATGAAAGTTTATTCTGCACATGAAAGTCACAAAAATTATAGATCAAAAAGATGCACAACTGTTAGTCGTCCTGCTAAAAAATGCTTCTTATTGTTGGTGTTGACAATAGGGAGGAATATTTGCATTCATTTCTAGTCCAATAACAAGCTTGGGATGTTCGGAACTTTATTAGCCCACTGGCGTATCGTGGTCGACTTATATGGAATAAGAGCTATTTACTTTTGATAAAAGCATACATTTCATTAATTTGAATCCAGAGTTTGCACGGCACAGCTTGGTATGGGTCGCGCCGGTATAGTGGTGAGAATAAAGTGCTGCCGGATTTATTAACAGAGACAATCCTGACCGTTTGAGGTCGAAGTTTTTGATGTCCAGCATTGAGGTCCAGGTGGTCATGACGCTGCGCCTGAGGTCCTCCGAGGCCTCACTGAGGTAAGTGATGAAGGCGGCCGCCACCAGACATTGGCGGGACAGCGCCGAGACGCTCTCGTCCAGCTCCGACACCTGTCCCGGCATCACACGTTTGAAAATACACGTCGCTAACTTTGAATTGTATCGTGAATTTCATTTGGTGAATTTTCAATGAAAAGTAAATGTAGTGAAAGCAAATACGTAAATCTGGCATGGTCTAACCTGGCTACTCCAACGCGTATATTCCCCGCCCAGCTTGGACACGAGGCTCTCGGCAGCGGTGATGGTTTTGGTGGCCTCGGCGAGCTTGAGTTCCACCTTCGCGGCCTCCTTCGTCGACTTGTTGAGCTTCTCCTTCAGTACAGACACTTGAGACTCCACGCTCTCCAGGCCAGATGACAGGTGTCCTATTTTGCTTTCGGCTTGTTGCAAATTCCTTTTTCAATAAAAAAATTTAGGTTAAAAATATATTCAAATTCAGCGATATATATTAAGCTTTTATAACTGGGCAAAATTTGGCCGACAGCTAATTGGGCTTAGAAGCTATCGTCAATCTAAAGGTCTTTTGTAACATGTAGTTTTAAACATAAAAAGAAAAAATGTAATTTTAAGCATAATAAGAACACATGTAGTTTTAAGCACCAAGTCCAAACGAAACGGCCTAAAAAACTAAGAGGACGAAGACTAGAGATCCTCACCTTTGAAGCTTGTTTTGCTCGTCTTCCAGAGGCTTAACTTTCTCCAGGACGTAGGAGAATTTGACGTTAGCGGACACCCAGGCGGCGAGAGGCGCCGCTGCTGCAGACGCGCGTTTGGCTACCGCAGGAGTGAAGGATTTTTCCTTTTCTTTCAGTAGCCGCTCGACCTTCTTGCGGGCATCCGGGGCTACGTTTCTGGGGTCGTAGTTCCTGGAAAAAAAATTCAGTAAGATAAGTCACTATAATGAGCCATGCCATCAATCTATGCAGAACTAATATTGGGTGAACGCTGTACGAAATCTTTGAACAATTCCATCCTATGAGCTTCATATAATTTTGAGTATCGATAAACAGTGAAAAGTTCAGTGAGTGTTGGGTAAACACGGCGGCTTCCCTCACTTGATTTCTTCCCTCACTCCGCGCTTGGCCAAGAAGGATTTCATCGAGTTCCAGGACGTATCCAGGATACCCATGAGGGTCAATACGCCCTCCAGGATGTCCCGTATCACTTCAGGAGGAGCTCGAAGGGACCTGAAAAATATACCATTGTTGCGCATAAAATTATAAATTATAAATAAACGATTATCAATTTACAACAATTTCATCGGTTTTAAATTGGGCGTGTTAATTCAATAAAATAAATCGAAATCTGCTAGTGCTTGCTGTTCATTGAGGCAGATTCCGCTTCACGCCCTTACAGCTTGTATGACGCAGTATTATGATATATATTTTTAATTTAACATATAATGCCAATTCTCTTGCAAGAAGCTCTTGTGCCACACCCACCTAACTTCGGTGAGCGTCTCGGACTTGATGTTCCCAACAGCCTCCTTGGCCTCCAGAACAAGAGGCTCGATCTCTGCGAGCTCTGCGTCGATCTCCAGCTTCCTGTTAGCAGATGACAGTGAGAAAAATACGGCGCAGGAAGGCTCAGTGACATCTAATTAGCGGGAACAAGGAGGAAGAAAGAAGTTAGATAAGCATACCGAGAATATTGAAGCAAGTAAACGATATGTGCGGCGAAGAAATTACTTAAAAAATACAAAACACATAAAAAAGCAAACATATTCACTTGTACATTAAAATTGTATTTTTTACATAGATCTATGAATTTGAAATCTACATAGATAGATGTAGATTTCAACATTTCAATAATTCATTTTAACGCGTACATGTAAACAAAACAAAGGAATTCCAAGGACTCGACAGAATGAACGCAATATCTTCAACTGAACCTTTTAGCGAGCTTTTCCCCCTCCTTGAGCGTGAGTTCCTTGAGACTCTCCATCTCAACCTTCTGGGCGTTGGCGTTACTCATAGTGTCAGAGATGAGCTGTAGAGCCTTGTTCGCCTCAGCCTGCACTCAGTACAAGCAAATTAAAGTACAAGTTCAACGATTTGTCATCCTAAGAAGCGATAAAAATCACGTAAAATTTCACCAATAGTATTTAATGATCCAAAAATAAGAATATTATTGAATAAAAATCTAAATAGTAATTAATAATAATTAAATTCATGCAAATAATAATTAATAATAATTAAATTGACCAAAATGATAATTAATAATAATTAATAATAATTAAATTCATCCAAATAATAATTAAAAATAATTTACCATGGAGGTTTTTTTACCTGCTTCTCGGCAAGCTCCTTCTCCTGAACGCTCGCTTCTTTCTTGAGTTCGTCGACGAGAAGCTGCGCCTCGCGTAGCTTAGATACGCCGTCCTGTGAATAACAGCGTTTGTGAAACGATCGAAAAAACCTATTGGAAACCAGGGATGGTAATGACATCGATTATTTACCATACTTCACTTCATGCGCGGCATCTACTAGTCTTAGCACACAAATCTTTATCATGAGCAAATCTTTATCATATTTTAAAATCATACATAAATAATTAATAAATCATCATTTAAATCATTTTTAAATCATTTTAATTTTTTCATCTAAATTCACGCACCTGTAGGTGCTTGATTTTGGTGGAGAGCTTGGCCTTGTGGTTGGTGTAGAGGGAGCGGTAAGTGTGCAGAAGGGTCATGAAGCGTCGGGGTGTGACCAGATGATCTAGTGCAGAAGGCAGGGACTCGTGCACGCTGGAGAAGTTCTCCGTGAAGGCTGCGTTCTCAGCACCGTCTTCAGGCAGCTCTTCCTTCGTCAGGAGAAGCTCCGGCACCTGACGAATCAAATATAATTATGCTTTGTATTATTAATTTTCTAGACAATTTTTGTCATATTACTGCACATAACGAAGGATAACATGTGAATGTTATTATCTATGTATATGGACGTGTGAGAAATCACTATTCTGAATGAGTTATTGGTTTTCCAGATTCACAATTTTGCTTGCTATTGTATGAGAACCAGCAACGTCACTATTGTTATTATTAAGTAGCGCTAAAGATAGTGTTATCCTGGTTGACAATTTTGCTTGCTATTATGTGGGAGCCTGTAACGTCACTATTGTTATTATGAAATAGCGCTAATGATAGTTATCCTGGTTCACAATTTTGCTTGCTAGTGTATGGGAGCCAACAACGTCACTATTGTTATTATGAAGTAGCACTAATGACCTGTAACATAGAGGCGTGGCACCAGGTCTCAAGCCACAGCACGGCGCACTGCTTGTACAGCGCAGGGTTGCTCTCACACCGCACAGAGAACTCGCTGCTGCTGCTGTCCAGGAGCAGAGCGATGTGCAGGTTGCGGCGAACTCCTGAGCAGCAAAAACACTCAAGTTGAATACTGACGTTGCGTCGCTAAGTTTTTAGAGAAACACACGCCAAATGAACCAGATTTTGAAACCTTCTTTGAATTCAGACAAGTGCGATATGAGAAACGAGATGAGAGCAGAGGCAGCTCGGTGGTTGAGACAAGGTCAGGCTACTGATCTAGATTTTCTAAGCCAACGCGCTTGCCGTACTGGCGATGGGGCTTATAGGCGATTAGTGAGCTTAAGTGATTGGCACTGTGGCCACTGTGAGGATGAGCTGAATGAAATAGGATAACCGCGACGCTCGCTGTTCATGTCTTCTTGGCCAAAAACTGGTAAGGCTGAGTGTATTTCATATTTTCATGCATATATTATGTGGCTCCATGAAACCGACTTAATGGGCTTGACATTCAAGCTCTAGAGTATACGACACTGCTTTTGGACTCTGAAAAATATTTAATAAATTTTCAGCGAAACACTCAATCTTTTGGCCAGCTATATGTTTATTACATAGCTTCAATGATAACACATGCATGGCATTTAAATTGAGATTTAGATTTGCATTTCGCTTTGATATTATAAAATATTATTATATGATTGGACAACTGAAATGCATAAATAACGAAAATTCAGCTTGAAAATGAATGATGCAACAACGGACACATATATTTAGGAAACGAAAAGGTAAGCCGTTAAGTTTGAATTCTTAAAGTTTTTGGTTGAAGTTGAAGTTTAACTATAAGTTGAACTACAAATGTTGAAACAATATAATAAAATTTCAACTTATCGAAAATAGATGATAATAGCATCATAAAATAGTAATTTTACAACCCACTCTCTGAGAAGTAGGCAAAATGAGAGCCTCTGAAGCCAGCGTCGGCGGCCTGGTCTCTGAGAGGCAGCAGGAGAGGCTCGAGCTCCTCAGGCTTGTACAGACCAGGCACCTGGCGAGTGTTGGGAACCAGGGCGTCAGAAACTATTGTCATCTCATGTAAACAATGAAGGAAATATGACAACGCAATATTAAGTCTATATCGAAGTAAAGAATAAACAAAGTATAATAACTCAATATTAACCGTTTCATAAATATTTCCCTGAATCGAGTCCCATGACAGCTGCGTCAGCATTAGAAATTAAAAATTTTTGAGTAACGAATTAGCAAGAACACCACACCTCCCCAGCCATGAGCAACACACCTCCCCAGCCATGAGTAACACACCTCCCCAGCCATGAGCAACACACCTCCCCAGCCATGAGTAACACACCTCCCCAGCCATGAGTAACACACCTCCCCAGCCATGAGTAACACACCTCCCCAGCCATGAGTAACGAGTTGACGGTCTCGAGGATGTCTGGCGTGACCAGGTGGTGGTCTTCAATCAACAGCACCACCTGCTCCCCTGCCACTCCCGCCGCCTCAACCACCTGGGCAACAGCACTTTAATTTATGACGAAATATTCCAAAGGAAAATATAAATACCAGTGATAGATCGATAGTAATATCAGTGATAATAGATATCCAATGGAAAAACGTTGTGTTCATGTACGTAGTAAGATCAATTATAAAAATGTTCCCGTAAAATTGTTCAACGCTGGCCCACATCTCAGAGATATTGTGCCCCTCCTCTGTAGATAACCTTGATGGAACTTTGACACTTTATGAGTTAATATTTACAAGAAAAATATAAATATCGGTGATAGATCGATAGTAATATCAGTAATAATAGATATACAATGAAAAACGTTGTATTCATGTAGTAAGATCACTATTACAAAAAATTTTCCCGGGAAATTGTTCAACGCTGGCCTACACCTCAGAGATACTGTGCCCCTCTTCTGTAGATAACCTCGATGGATCTTTGATATCAAATAATTAGTTATTGTTGCGCTCAATACCAACCTGCTTGATGTCGTTCCTGAAGTTGACGATGCCGTAGCTCTGTGTGATGGCGGGTGAGACGATCTTCATGGAGTGCCAGTTGGCGATGACGGTGAGGGCCGAGCGTCGTCCCACTCCAGACCGGCCCGCCATCAGCAGCGACCCTCCAGGAGCCGTCAGCACGCGGTCCACGCGCGCCATCATCTCCAGCACCTTCACACGGAGACAACTCCAGGTACTCATGATAACGATACTAATAACTTCGCTGATAATACTTGTAGTTAGATAAACTTGGCTGTGACATGAGCAAAAGATCCTCGGCAATATCCGAATTACTTTAAAAAAATTTGTCCGTGAACAGATACGTATTATTCCAATAGCCCAACGCTTTGAAAACCAAAAGTATGAAGTTAATTAAAGTGTTATAAAGTTAATTAATTTGTCAATTAGATAATTGAACTCGTCGCCTGACCTCCTGGAAGATGAGGAGGTCGACGAGGTCCCTGTTGTCTCTGGTGTACTGGGCCACGGCTTTGGCCACGACGGTGGACCACGCGGCCTCGTCCAGCAGCCCCAGCAGGTGCCCGTTAGGGGGGAGGGGCGCTCCCGCAGTGGGCTACCAATTTAAATGAATCACGCTATAACGACTTTATACTGAGGATGGTTATAATAATATCAAATGCAAGTTTAATTCATTTCATGAAACTATCAACATTTTGTTTCGGTCGACAGTAGAACTTTGTGTGCAAATGCACAGAACCTAAACGAAATGCCCAATACATCACAATTTTGGCAAAGCTAAGCTTGAGATCACTCGTGGTGTTGCTGAGTGTCCAATTTTATCAGATAATACGCAAAAATAGAACCGACAATTTATTCAACACGCATTCCATAAGTCACAGTCACGCTGTCAAGTAATAACTGCATTGATGGTAAAAACTTGTGATAAAAAGCTACGATTGAAGGGATTAGAATTTTTAGAGTGCACATTTTTGGTCTGGTATTGTCAACGGTTACGACTGGTTAATGGTTCACAGTTCACGACCTCATATGTAAGAAATGAACAAGAAGTAATTCATCAAACTAACCACGTACAGCTTAATTGCCATGTTGTCGCAAGTCATTCGAACTGCGATTGCCCTCGATGCATTGCAATATGAAGTCAGCCTTATATTCACTTTAGTCGAGCACAAAATTTTAAAATATTTGTATAAAATTATAAGATGTGTACGAAAGACATAGTAATTATGCTTGAAGAATATCAAATGAGATCGTAGTTAACGCAGTAAGCAGTAGCAATGCGACTCCACTTCCTCAAGAAGCAGACAAAACAACACAACAGCAGCAATAGAATGTAATAGAAGTGTCGGCGTTGAAGAAATAGGCCCAAGGCCTGTTGCCGATTATTGAACTTTTCGTGACTTGATTCACAAGGGATCCGGCCTTTGGAACCCGATCTTTCCATAGCTGACGATTGACATAGCTGCAATGCACTTGTGTTAAACATTCTACACTAATTCCTCAATACTGACGACGGCAACACCAGCGGTGGTGAAGAATGTGTTGTCGTGCATCATGTCGGAGAGGTCGAGGTTCCAGTCGCTCTGTAGGCACGTCAGGACGATGCGGTCAAACTTCTGCATGTCTTCCTCCTCCGCCAGCTTGTCCCGGAACATGCGGCATGCTTCGTACAGCCATACCTGCCAACAAAAATACTCATTATTATTGATGACCATTATTAATAATCCCCATTGCCCACTATTAATAATCCTCAACAATATTCCTCATATTAATAATCCACATGCAACAATAATCCTCATTACAGAAAGCCCATCAATAGTTCGCTCTTACATGGTAAAAAAGATCAAATTTGGGAAACTTGTTGCTCGTTTTTAATCGACATAACCAGAGAACCAGCATAATAAAAATGCGTTTGTTTAATAATGGAAAAATCACTTCCTGGATTCTTTATATTGGTTCACTTCTGCTCTGTGCAGCTACGTCTAAAGTTACTGCTTACGTATCGGGTTAAGCATCAAATTGTCGTTAATGACCTTCTTTAAGAAAAGAGGAGCCACGAAATGACAGGCAACGCTCGGTATTTCGCAAATTTGGACCCAAAAAAGTTTCATTTGAAGATTAACATGAAAAATCTTCATTAACATGAAGATTAACATGAATCCCGAAACGAAAAAATAATCTGAAAGGGTTTGGACGCATAAATAACTTGAAATGCTGCATTTGAGTCAATGCACTATCTGAGGTAGAGATACTGCACTGAGGTAGAGTTGAGGTAGAGACCACTAACCCTGAGTAGAGGTAGAGACCACTAACCCTGAGTAGAGGTAGAGGCCACTAACCCTGAGTAGAGGTAGAGACCACTAACCCTGAGTAGAGGTAGAGGCGAAGAGTCCTCGACAGGTAACGTGTAGCGCAGCAGTCCCAGCACCCAGCGCGTGAGGTCACGGGGCGTGAAGAGGTAGTGCGAATAATCGTCTACCGAGAAGCTGCTGCTCACCTGCAGCAACAATTATACCACAACTATATAATCAAGGTCCAAAAGCTGGTAAAAATACAAATGCGACGAAACTATACATAATACCTCCACGTCCCCCGAGAAGCTTGAATATGTAAGCCAACAACTCCGCAAACAAAGAGAAGTTATACGCTTCCCTGCTTTGTAAGTAACTGGAATCCCAAATGCGGAAGTTAGAGCCATCCTGAGTCTATCTAGTCACCGGGCAAAGTGAGCTCAGAGTGGAATTGAGCTGAAGCCGGAGCCATCCCGAGCACGGTTATAGCAGAATCTTTAAAGCGCAAACCTGGGACTGTCGAGAGCTCTACATGCTTGAGGCGGTCAAAGGCCGAATCCTACAAGAATCCTATATGAAGAAGCTGGAGCAATCCTGAGTCTGCCTAGTCACCGGTCAATGTGTCACCGCTTCGCATACTCAACCGTCAGGTTGAGATTCAGTCAATCAACCTATCAACAGTCACCGGCTTGGCATACTCTTTACTAGTAAAGTTGTAAACTTTTAGTAAATTTAGTGCGTATTTCGAGATATTATGTACATTATTTAGCAATTACGTAGTTATTAGATTCAAGTAGTTAATAAATGACGCCTAGCCGAGCTGATTGCGTAGCTCTGGTCACAGGACCTGTTGCTCAAGTCCTGCTAGACACACGGCGGGACACGGTGGGACACACGGCGGGACACATGGCGGGACACACGGTGGGACACACGGCGGGACACACGGCGGGACACACGGTGGGACACACGGTGGGACACACGGTGGGACACACGGTGGGACACACGGTGGGACACACGGTGGGACACACGGTGGGACACACGGCGACGCGTGTTCACTGAGTTCACTTTATTGCCTTTACAACTAAGCTCGTTACTGTCCGTCCACCTTCAGGCTGTTCAAGAAAGCCACCGCGTTGCTTCTATAATAAAGCTACTTTATAATAAGCTACTCTACTTTCTATTATAAAGTATTCGATAAAAGTAGTTGCGTTGACGCCAAAATTGACGCATCTTATCACTTTTTTCATGGAACGTACAACGAAAGATGAATTTATTTAATTACTATTCATTGCTTCGATGCTCAACTTTTAGAAACATATATTATAATTATTGCACAATGCACCTTAATTAAAATGTATGAATTTTTTTTAATTAATTTCACGCATACGTGGCCAATCTAATTCCATTCACTCAAAATACGAGAATTTTTATTATTTATTTAAAATATTTGATAAAAACTTCATGCTTTTCCGCCAGACTGCAACTAATAACAATATTTTTAATCAAAAACCCTCTTCGAGTTCAATCATCGCAACCTTCAGTGAGCGTCAATTAAAATAAAAGAAAAAATCACACAAGGCTTCGGCCTCATTATTTTTACTGAAGAAAAGGTTTAAGTTAATTATAATGCAAGCAATAATACGACATGTACAATTTAAAGATTCAAATGTAAGTATACGAAAAATTTTCTTGCGAAAATGAGCTGAAGCCCCGATCTGATTAATATGTATAATTTGTAGCGTAATGCATTGGTAATTACTTCAATAAAAAATTACATTGCATTTTACGATATATAGTCAAGATCATATGATCGACTAGTGGACGGCTGACACGACTCTGGTGCATCACTGCAATGAAGCAATTAATGATTATAGTTGCATAATGAGTTCAAGTCATACGATATGCCCTATCAGTCATCATACTATACATGAGTCATTATAATATACATCAGTCATTATACAATACATCAGTCATTATACTATACATCAGTCATTATACTATACATCAGTCATTACACTATACATCACTCATTATACTATACATCAGTCATTATACTATACATCAGTCATTATACTATACAGGAAAACTGAATCGTGTAACTGAACAATTTTAAGCTAAGTTCTTCATTACTAGCTCGCCCATATAAGAATTCATTCAATTTTTACTGAATTATATGGATTATGCATGGTTCCTGACCTGATGATAAACGTGCACCATGGAGGCGGCAAGCGCATGAGCTTTGTGCAGCCACACAGGATGGTCGGGGGCGACCACCTTGACGACGGCTGAACAATAGCTGCTGTACACGCTCACCAGCTGGTCGCGCTCGGGGTAACTGAAATAAAGGTTTGAAACGTTCCACCGTAAATCTTAACGGTAATCTAGATTTGACAGATTACAAAAATATTTTAAAATTTAAGAAACCGGCTAGAAGATGATTTCTTATGTTCTGAATGATGCACGTGTTTTATTTTCATGAAAAAAAAATTATTTTCATGCTGTAAATATAAACAAATTGTGCGTAATAAATATGAGATAACCAATTACGTAAGTAAATCTTACTTCCAAGCTACGACAATGGCTCCACGATAAAACACAGCATGGTGCAGTTTAAAAAATTTGTCTATGCTCTAAAACCTGATTGATTCCATATTAACCCCATTGAGGCGATCCTGACGATGGAAGTGAAGCGGGTAGACAGCTTGTGGCGGCCCAGTGCCGACCCGCCAGTGAGGCTGCCCACCACCTGCACGCCCTCCAGCCCCACCCACTCCAGGCTGTTGTCGTAGAACCCTCCGTACGTTACCAGCTACATTACAGTTCCACTCATTACAAGAAGTTCCCGCCGCTCAAAGCTACGTAAATTTGTTAACACTACTAGGTGGCTACAATAGCCTATAGGTTAGAGGAAGTTAATATCATTGTAATATCATTAATAATATTGTAGCATAGTTTTCTTTGAGTTTATAGTAAGAAATGAATTTTTTTTAGTTAAAAGTAAGTCCTTGTTGCTCTAGGATCGGTTAACAATCATATATCAGAACGTTGGCACGTATCATTGATTAAACTAAAACAGCTTATCTTTAAGTTTCCAACAAAACGATCTCGTTTCCCAAAAACTTTGCCGAAGAATGGAAACCTGGCAAGAGAAGAAGATTTGAGTTCAATATAAGCGAGGCTGACCTGCTGGAGGAAGGTGATGAGTTGCGAGGTGCCCCACTTGTCTGGCTTAGGCAGGTTCAGGTCCTTCAGGTACAGGATGAGTCGCTCACAATCCTTGGGGCGGTACACGCGTCCAGTGTTCGTTGATATCACCATGCACATCTGCGGCAAATAAATCATTTCAGAAAGTCACAATATTTTCGAAGATAAATATCGCATTCAGCCATAAACTTTTTTCTTTATTAAAATAATATAAGTTTTTGATAACGCGGCGACAAGACGACAAGTAATGCACAAGTTGAAGCCGTACCTGAGTGAGTTTTTGGAGGATGTGATGAGGTGCCGTGTAGGCGCTGCAGTGCACAACCGCAACCTGAGTGCCGCGCAGCTGAGCGAAGCAGTGGTTCAGCAACTTGCTAAAAGGCAAGAGTAATTACAAGCATTACTCGCGCGTTAGAATTTCAAGCACGATAAACTGTACATTTAACACTTCTAAAAATTATTGATAGTAATAAAGAATCAATCATCAATTTCGATTTTGAATGAAATCTGAAGCCATACTAAATTAATTTATATTTTAACAGTCGATCAATATTATCAAGCCATCACGAACACGGATTTCGTCTCAAAGACAAAAAATAAGCCTCAGATAATTTCTACGAATGTTGGAAGCACAACCTTTTGCCGCAGCCCTCAGGACCGATCAGAATGAAAGGCTGCTGAGTCTCGGGCTGTAGCCACGGCAGGATGTAGTCCAGGATCCTCTTGGAGTCTGCCGTAAGCACGAGCGGAGGCTCGGAGTTGTCGATGGCAACTTCAGTGTTGGTGTCCGTTGTGTAGCTCTCAAGTCGGTCACGAGCCTCGTCGTACCTAACGCTGAGAGGGCGGTTATTGTCCGGCAGATGCTCGCCAACCCAACTGTAAACTTCTCGAGCAAAGTCGACGCGGGTGTTCTCCGATAAATTCCCACCCAGTCCTCTCACGAGCGCCACTGCGAAGTGGGTTCTGCTGGTAACGTTCATCATGTGCGAAAGTCCGTTGAAGACCCAGCCGACCAGTGTTGTGTCCACTTGCGATTCGCTTCTTTTCATCACCCACTCCAGGCCTCGGAAGAAGTAGTCTTTGATGTACTGGGCTAAATGGTCCTGGTCGTGTTCCCTCTGACTTAGCCAAGAATCAACAACAAGTTGCACGTTCGTATCTTCGTCACTCAAGAATATCATCCCCATTCTGGAGATTGTTGCAGGAGAGGCACAACTCAAGTCGTGCGTCTCGAAGAGGAAGTTCACATTTGGCCCGAATTGGATTCTTTCCCCTGAGGGCATCGTTAGCAAGCGATTATCGTCCAATACTGAGTTGAGAGACTCGATCCACTCCGGGTCTATGTCACCATCGCACACGATCCAGGAGGTCACCTCGACAGGTTCTTTGACCACGAGTCTGGCGGAGGCCGTGAGTACTCCATCAGACCACTCCCGAGTGTCGTGGTCTATGTGGCCAAGCAATTGATGTCGGGGCATGGCTTTGGGATTCATCACATACTTCATAACTTTTTGCCCCATTTTCGTGAGCGCTTTGAAAAGCATCTTCCAGAGAGTGGTTTTCCCAGAACCTGAAGGCCCAACCACAACGACGCCCATCCTCTGCTGCAGCTGCTCATAAAGTTCAAGGCATTTCTTCGTCTGTCGCTCATTAGGCACCAAGCTGTTCTCAGTGAAGGTCTCTTGGATCACCTCAGCGAGTGACTCGAAACCAACTCCACGGAAGGGCACGTTGGTGAACACATCGCGGACGAGCTCGTCAAATCTGTGCGTGAGAGGGGAATCGATGAGCAACAAAGCTTAGCTACCAAGAATGGTTTGCCACCCAAAAATCAAATAGCGAAAGTTAATCTGAGAATTGGGTAAAATTTAAGTAACGAGAAAACGGTCGCAGTAATTTCAAAGAAAAAATTTGATACGATAATTCGGCATGTCCCTCAGGCTAGTACATATCTATTTGCTATAAATCATTCGCTCAAGTTGATGCATTGACATAGTTTTCAGTATGGAAACAACGACGTTGAAAATAGTTAACCTCTCAAGACATCAAATTCAATTCGCCTCAGTACGATGAAATTTTTGTATCTTCCACTGAAAAAATTCATTTTATTATTGTATATAACTCAATTCTGGTACGATTCTCACCGGACGGAGTCAGCGAATGTAAGCTTAGACAGTGTGTTGAGGCGCAAGGCTTGCACCATCAACTCCAACTCCACCTCAGGCGTCACAGCTTCTCCACCTGCACCTGACCTGAAGTGTCCAGAAAAATAAACTCTCGCAAATGCTCCGTTTAACAAGCGTCTGTAACGTCCATGTTGCAACAACAGTGCAATAATTGTGACGCTGCAAACTACAGACAATCAAATGCTCTTGCCTTGCAGAATTTTTTCTTCAAACTACAATAATACTCGTACTAATAAAATCTAGTTATAAAGAAATGAAATCAAGAAAACATTGTTAAATACTATTGTAACGAAGAAAACAATCGTCAAATATACAATATTTTGACAAATGTAACAAGTATAGATGAACATTGCCAAAATGAATGACAATAGCGAGCTTACGTTAATGGCAGCAGACTTGACCATCTACCGCCGTATGTCACTCTCCGGGAACACAACTTTCAACTTGAATTATACGTAAACTATTGAGTGTAGTAACCTGAGGACGTTTGTACGCAACAGAGAACAATTTAATGGTAAACTTTCAACTTGAATTATACGTAAACTATTGACTGTAGTAACCTGAGGACGTTTGTACGCAACAGAGAACATTTTAAAGTTGTCGTACGTGGCGGCAACCATCAGTGCAAGTCATTTTGTGCTCACTAGAACGTATCCTTTTTGGGGAGTAGGCGCGTGACAATATTGCTCCGGTTACAAGCGTCCGGCGGTAGAGGGTTAAATGTTTACCTGTGCTGCTGCAGGAGGTTGCCCGAGCCCTTGAGGACGGTCTTGAGGGCGCGTAGCCCCCAGTCGTAGTGCTGCTGACGAGTGAGCAGCTCCTGGTATATAATATATATTTTGGTAAACTTAAGAATCATATATAAATTAAGGAACAATTAAGCCTTTTCCGAATTATATGGGTCTTTTAATAGGCTTTGCTTACTACTTTATAAAACTTATTCGATTACTTAAAATTATGGCACCAACATCAAGATCATAATAAATATTACCTTGGAGAGCGTGAAGACAGCTACGAGTTTCTTGCCGATGGTCTTGGCGCTCTTGAAGCCCTCCGAGAAGAGGATGACCTCAGCGATGAGGTCGTTGTCAGGGCGCGACATGGCGACGGGACGGAAGAGCTGCTTCAGGTTGTCGGGCAGCTTCTGGCGACCTCCGTAGCCCTTCCCGGCGGGGTTCATGGTGATGAAAATCCCGGAGTTCAGGTCCACCGGGATCTGGATTGAGGATCAGGAATGATTAAAAGGAGAAATGGAATTAGAGCGAGGTAAGATAAACTGTGGAAATGCATCTTGGGGTAATATTAAAATATATTTTCAGCTAGGGAGTCACGTAAATTAAAAGCTGGGAACGCTCCACTGTTTTTAGCCGATCACAATGAGCTTGCTCAGAAATAACTGAGCGTCAAGCTGGGTCTTCAACCTTTCTCTTATTCATTACAACAATGAAGTTGATAGAGGCGGAGATATTTCGTGGTTACCTCCTTCTCTAGCAGGGTTGTGGTGGCAGCCCTGCCTTTAATGGCCGCCTGGATGGTCTGGATCTGCATGGACACGGCGGAGAGCACCGCTTCTTCCAGGCGGTTGAACTCATCGAAGCAGCCCCAGGCACCGCACTTCACTAGGCCTGCGTCGTCGAGTGGTACATTCAAATAAAAACTCGATTAGAGCTTTTAATACCTATAACCTTTTACCCACGAGTCCATCTCAATAATTTTTTTCTGAGATTTCCATTTGATGGTGTTAGAAAAATATTTATCGTCATAAATTCAGAATATTGCAGATATTATAGATATTTAAACGTTAGATACAGATATTCATGAATGAACACTGATCTGTTGAAGTGATGTTACAATAAATACCAGTGAAAGTCTGCCATAACCTTCATGACAGGTTTCACTAAGCTGCACACGGCAATTTCACTACATAAAAATACACATTCCATGTTTGTGATCATCGAAAACACCACAAATGCCGCGTGAGACGCACCCACGAAAATCCTGCCCATGCTCTTGACGTCGATGCCCTCGTCGCAGTTGAAGACGAGCACCTGGCGCCCGAAGAGGCCCCCCAGCGCCTTCACGGACTCTGTTTTGCCCGTGCCTGCCGGGCCGTATGGGTTCCCGCCCAGACCCATGTGCATGCCCTGCACCAAATGCCATCATTAAACCTCAAGTGTAGTGAACAAGAGAAAAAATTGATTTTCAGCAAAGGTATTGGGACGCAATCATAAAGGAAGTAACACGCATGGAAAGATCCGTAACGTGGTTATGCCAAGAAACGCCAAAATCGAACTTGAAATTCACGATTATGATTTACTGCGCATAAAATTTAACTAATTAAGATCACATAATACGACTTTTAGAGTGAGTGACTATACTAGCAAGTTATTGGTGCAAAGGATTTGATGAACCTCGAAAAGGCAGATTTTTAATAGAGGGCTCAACCAGTGGCCGGTCTTATTATTGCGAGGAATTCATACATTATAAGGCATTTAACAGTAGCGTCCTGAGACCTGCGTGAGAGTGAGGTAGCACTTGTCGGTGAGGGGCGTGTGTACGAGCTTCATGGCGTTGCCCTGGTACTCGTACGTGTAGTCGAACTCAGCGTCCACCATGCGTATCTTAGCGGTGCCTTGCGGCCCCATGTAGAACCTACAAAAAAAAACGCAAGGGCATATTTACAAGTTCAGCGGCTAATTATTACGACATTCAGAAAAAAATTGCGATTGTGCAGTTGGACTTCTTGTACGATTATTAAAAAATATAACTCAGTACTCACTGCAGTGAGTGACAGAGAGCGCATTTTCTCGTCGACGAAAACATGAAGTCAAGGACGGACAGACAGACGGACAGA